AGTTATGAATGTTGACATAGCGATTTGCGTTCGTCATTGGTTGTAGAAAATTTCGAGGTGTACATACAATTTGCATTAATTACGCATTTGAATACGCGCATTTTGAACACACAATTAATGCAGTTTAGAAGCCAATGCAGTAAAATGCGCATTAAACGCACGTTATATGCGCATTGGCGCTCCTTGGGAAGCTAAAGCTTTTAAAAGTGGTAGTGTACAGTTTTTTGTTTATTCGTCACATGACAATGTTCTATTCCGCTCTTGTTTCTTAAAACTTTTTAATGCGGTAATTTGAATTGCCATTCGCCATCGTTCGAGCGTTTTCGTAGATCCTCGGCTAGTGGTAATTTTTACCGTTAGACATTTTCGACTTTAACATTGTACTTCGTGATCTCCTGGCAATAGCATGAATCATGTTCAGCAATCAGTAAAGTGACTACAAAAGTGATATGAGTTTTATTATTACTCATTAACTTGGATAAGTCTGTGGAAGTAAATAGGTGCTACAAGCTTAAATAGTATCTCTCGTGTGAGTTTTTTCACACAAAAATATTTACATAAGAACTTGCAACACTTATCAGGATCTTCGCTGAAGAGACTGGCATAGTCGCATCTTCTGATACTATTACACCAGGTAAATTTTTATTTGCACGAATCAATTCCAAAGTCTCTCAAACATCGATCCGTCATAAAAAAGACAATGCATTTTTAATTTTTCTAATAATCGTTTTTGAGAAAATTGTGTACCGATCGAGTATAATGCTTCAAACATTTTTATTTGTTGCAAAAATGCACCAAAAGAATTTTAAGATATTCCACATGGTTTTCGAAAACAAGAAATTAAAATAAATTACTTAAGAGAGAACAAACTGTAACAAGAATATTAACATTCCACGTGTTGTTCCAATATAAATTCCATTATGAAAAAAACAATGTATTCCTGTTAGTCAATTATTATTATTTAATTTAATTTCATGTAATTTCATTTTTATAATGACCGCCCAAAGCTTAATGCCAAAATTAACGGCCAGGAATGCCGCAACACTGTACACTACAATGCTCACAGCGGTTTACCCCTCGTCACTTATCGATTATAGGATAAAAACAATACAAAAATATTTACAGCTTGCTGTAAAACTAAACCGTTATTTGTAAAAGATGGATCCAGAGAGCTTCACGGATAGCGCAAAAGAGATGGCGGAGTATATAGCAAACTACTTGGAAAATATTAGAGACAGGTAGATAATATGCAATAATGAAAAAATCGCTTAACGGCGAATTTACGTTCAGTAATAATCTATTTAATTATCTTGTACTTTTCATATAAATATATCTCGTTTATAAAAATATCCCAAATTCCCAGGAGAGTCTTGCCTACGGTGAAGCCGGGATACCTGCGACCACTCTTGCCATCCGAAGCACCCCGAACCCCTGAACAATGGAAGGATGTAATGGCCGATATCGAGAGAGTAATAATGCCAGGCGTAAGTAATTAACTACCTCAATCGATCGTAAATCACCGATCTAACAAGAGTATGCAATAATGACTGATTCACACATCGCAAAACAACAACACTAGAATTATCGGTCTTTCTGACTGTAGGCAAGAAATAAATTAAGATAAAATTGTTTAGGTTACTCATTGGCACAGTCCAAAATTCCATGCATACTTTGCTTGTGCTCAATCGTATCCCTCGATTCTAGCCGATATGTTAAGCGGAGGTATTGCGTGTATTGGATTCACGTGGGTAAGTGCATTAAAGATGTGAATGTTTTATTCATTTCCATTAACCCGTTGCACTCCTATGTCGAGTGTGACTCGACATCAGTTTTTATCTCAGCAGCTCTTTTGTTGAGTCTCACTCGACATTTTTTTCAAGTCCAAACCAATAGATAAAATATAACTCGGAGTGCAAAGGGTTAATACAAGACCCGCATTCATGTTTTGCGTTATAACTATGAAGTCTATTAAAATCCCTCATTTCTATTTCGAAGGATATAAAATCCATTTCTGCAATAGATAAAAGTCAAAATTAGCAACGACAACCAAATCTCATCATTAAAACTAAAATATATTAACTTTGAAAATTTTAAATTAACATAAAGTTAGAAAATATATCGAAAACTGATATTAAAATATTAAAGACACATCTACGATCCTCTTGGTCACTTTTCATACCAAATTTCTGCAGATCGCGAGTCCAGCTTGCACTGAACTAGAAATGATCGTAGTAGATTGGCTGGGAAAAATGTTGGGCCTGCCCAAAGAATTTATTTTCTGCAGCGGTGGGAAAGGCGGTGGTGTCATACAAGTAAGTCACATTTTATTAATAGCAATACATTAATAAAAGATATCTGCATAAATATGTAGGGAATAGTTATTTCTGAGACTGGCATGAGACTGGCAACCTAAGTAAAATTTTCATTTATAGGGCAGTGCTAGCGAGTCGACTTTGCTAGCGTTATTAGGCGCCAAGGTTAAAAAGATAAAGAAAGTTAAAGAACAACATCCTGATTGGACGGACAGCGAGATTGTCGGTAAACTAGTCGCATATTCTTCTTGTGAGTATTACTGCGAATATTTTACTACTTAATCTAGCACGTAGAAATTTACAAGACGTCTATAAAATCAAAACAAAAACGAAATTCATAGCATGTTCAAGTGTCTAGCAAATAAAAGTGCCTGGCAATTTAAAGAAACTAATCTGTGATTATTCACCTACGATCTGACAATGGTGTCGAGATGTTGGAGGAGGGGGAAAGGGAACAGGGGCTACTTAAAATCGCGTATCGACAGTTCTGTGTACGCCTGACAATCCTAATCGACGCGCAGTTTAAAGTCGAAAAATAGACGCGTAGGCATCTTTATACTGTTATTGCGACAAATATTATCATATGCCTCGGTGGTCGAATTAATGAGACGCCTACCTAGAGTGTAGGAAAGTCTAGGTTCAAATCCTGAGTAACGTAATATTTTTCGCAATAAATTTTCTGCATTGACCGATAAATTAACAAAAGTGGCCAGTTGTGGTCAAATAAAATTTGGAATATTATTAAATATCAACTTTACGTAAATTAATATAATGTAGCAATAAGAAACTGTATGCTTCAAATCAATATTGTCGGTTTCTTAAAAATCAAACAAGTAAAGGGTGTTTCAATAAGAAGGAATGATGTTAAACGTGAATTAAAAATCGGTGGTGTACAAAAATGAAAATTTCTTTAATAGAACATGTTTGGTAGGCCATTACAATTAAGTATGGAAGATAATGTCCGCAAAATGTTCGCCACGGCTCCGGCGGCACACGTCAATCCGCTTATCGAAAGCTATCACATCTCGACACAACTGCTCCTGAATCTGTTCAATGTGGCGTGAAATTTCGTCTTTGAGTTGCTGGATGGTGGTAGGCTTGTTGGCATAGACTTTACTCTTCAAATGGCCCCAAATTGAAGAGTAAAGTCTATGCCAACAAGCCTACCACCATCCAGCAACTCAAAGACGAAATTTCACGCCACATTGAAGAGATTCAGG